CTTTGAGATAGTAAGAAGAGGCCAGTCACTTTCTGCAGAAAGAGGAAGATCCTATAAAAGGGAAAAGACAAAAGAGGAAGATTATGAAGATTATGGTCATAATCCCTGCCAGATTTTCTCCCCAAAAATGAATCACTGGTGGTGATTTGAGAAAACAGACTCAGGCAAACTGTTCTTTTTAAGAGAGATCAAGACTACTATAGTGAGCTGTGGGGATTTTAAAAAATCTTTCCCCTAAAGCACACATATCCTTAATAGGTAAATTAATCTATAACAGGAATTTCCAGGTTTCTTGGCAAACAGCAATATATGTAGGACAGTGACGTTTCCCAATGTATTGCAGTGTGTGTTAGGGAGAGAGAGTGTCAAAATCAAATACAGGATTACTGCCTAGAGAAGAATTTATGTTTTATCAATTGCCTGAATTTCCCATATCTTTTAACACAGCTTAGGTGTGTTCTAGTTCCCTTTCCTTTTTGCTCCATAAAAATCAAGCTTTCTATATTTTAATTAAATCTCTAGAATAATTCTTTAGTTTTCTGTTTTAAACATTTTTACATATTGCCCCCAACTTTGTTTCTTATCCCCTGGAATGGCCATTTTTTGCCTAGAGCCTTATACTTTTTCCTCCCAAAGTTATTCCTTATCCTGAGGACCCTCACTCCCTATTCTTTCCTACTTTTAATTTTTTTTTTAAGGATTTATTAGACACACAAGAACTGGGGTGCAGGCCAGAGGTGTGGAGGAGGGGGGTGAGAGGATTCACCAGAGACAGAGTGGGGAGCAGAACAGGTAGATTGATTGAAATACACTGCTGAGGGGAGCAGCGGGTGAGACAGGAGAGGTCTGCTGCGCCATATGGGTGGCTCCCTGGCCAAGGATCAAACTCATGCTACAGTGGCGCGGACAGCTTCACAGGTTGCGCCTTAACCCCTTGGGCCACCAGGGAGGCCCTCCTTCCTACTTTTTAGCAATCTTTCAACCTAGATGCTTCCAAAAGAAGACAGAATATCTAACTAAGGCAAAACATAGAAAATTTAATTTTACATGGCATAATAAATGCCAATAACTAAGCAAAAATTGAGAGAAGCTAGTTTCTAAAAACAAATATTGTTAAGTCAATTTTGGGGTTACAACTTTACATAAGTTTTTGTCATTTGAAGTAAGATCCTTTATAATGATTATGGTTTGAGAAAGTATCTCTCTACTGAGAAGTTAAAAATATCACTGTCCAGGGCCTCCCCTGGTGGTGCAGCGGTTGAGTGCTGGGCTGCAAAGCTGCCCGCAGCCTCTGCAGTACCGGTTCAATCGCCGGCCACCAGCGATGGTCCCACATGGTGCGCAGACCTCTCCTGCTGCGCCCGCTGCTCCCCTCCGCAGTGTATTTCGTCAATCTGCCTGTTCTGTTCCCTGCTCTGGCTCTGGTGAATTCTCTCACCCTCCCGCGCTTCTGACTGTACCCAGTGCTTGTATAAATAAATAAATAAATCTTTAAAAAAAAATCACTGTCCATAGATCATTAAAAATATATTATTTTCGGGCCTCCCCGGTGGCGCAGCGGTTGAGTGCTGGGTTGCGAAGCTGCCCGTGGTCTCTGCAGCGCCAGTTCAATCCCCGGCTGCTCCCCGGCCACAGGAGGAGGGTCCCACATGGTGCGCAGACCTCTCCTGCCACCCGCTGCTCCCCTCAGCAGTGTACTTCGGTCCTTCTGTCTGCTCTGCTCCCCGCTCTGGCTCTGGTGAATTCATTCACCTTCCAGTGCTTCTGACTGTACCCAGTGCTTGCATGAATAATAAATAAATAAAATTTAAAAAAAAAAAAATATATATTATTTTCATTGATAGCTATTGAATTATAAAGGAAAAAAATTATTACTCTAACTGCTTAGGGATAAAAATAGTAAAAAAAAAAAAAAAGTGTATAAATAAATAAATAAATCTTTAAAAAAAAATCACTGTCCATAGATCATTAAAAATATATTATTTTCATTGATAGCTATTGAATTATAAAGGAAAAAAATTATTACTCTAACTGCTTAGGGATAAAAATAGTAAAAAAAAAAAAAAAAAGTGTTTATTTTAGTTTTCTGAAATATACCGCCCAGACCATGAGCCAATGCCCGTGTCACTGCAAGGCCGTCTACTGCCAGGGGAGGTGCACATTTGTCCAAGGAGCCAGAAAACCCCAGGGGGATAAACACACTATTGATAAGGTTAGAACAGGTAAGGGGGCGTGACTGCTGGTCAGTGGACACTGGTGCTGGGCTGCAGGAACCCCATTTCAGGCTAAGGAGTTTAATTATCTCTGCACACACACACCAGGCTGAGGCCACTCTGAGGAGACAGCTATGTTCCACTGGACTTGTGAAAGAGGGAGAGGGTAACACGTGCCAGAGAGCAGGGGCAGGGGCGGGAAGACAGAACCAGTGAGTATGGGGGACAGCGAAACATGTGGCCAACTGGAAAATGACTCTTTTAACACTACACCGGGTTTCAGAAACTGACAGCTTAACAGTTTTCCTCTATTGTTGAATTATGAACTGAGAATCTGAGAGGGCCCAGAGCTAAAAAGGCTGGGAATACCAAGCACTGAGCGCCCATGTGAGTAGGCTGTTTTGGAACAAACCGAAAATGGCAAATTTATGAGGACTTTAAAGCAACATATTCAAAGAAAGACCATTGTATAAGGGAGGAGGGGAAATTCTGCTTTGATAATTTGACAGTTGAAAAGGAACATCTCATTTCCCCTAATTCAATCTTGTTTTCCTTTAGCTAAATGTTTCCTTTCTTTACTACTCCCTTCACAACAAATGGAGGGACTGTTTAGGGTTAAATCTCTGGCCCTAAATATAACTGGAGCTAGAAAAAAGAGCATTTTCACAGGCATGAAAAGTCTTCAAGGTAGCTGTGAAGCGCTTCCAGCAGAGAGCTGAGCATCAATGATGCATTTAACTGAGGCGGGAGCCTGACTATGTGGGAGTGGAGCCCGGGCTCCAGGAGGGCAGCTATGGCCCCTGGGAGCTCGGCATCAAGGGCTCCAGGCTTAGAGCCGTTGGGGTCTGTTACTATTTCTACATCAAAACCATCGGAGAATAAAGCAGATCCAGAGAAATACTGGCAAAGGAAGTCTTACAAACCACATGAAACAACACAAGAGACTAGAGAACTCCTCAAGAGAAGAGAATATTCTTCCAGAAAGAACAGATAGATTTCAACTGTGCTGAGAAAGCTGATCTGGCATCTCAACTCCCCGCCAAGAACCTCCACAGCTGTTACCTCAGAGTCTGAGTGCGCAGCTCGCGCCCTGGAAGACCGGGGCTCAGATATGCACCTGGGGGTGGCTCTCATCCCCCAACTTTCTTTTATCACCTCAACTCATGGAACAAAAGTAAATATGCATTAGAAATTAAAACTAATAAAATGAAGGGTCACAGGGAAATCAATCCAGTAATCTGCGTCTCCAAGATGGCTTTGTTCACATTCCAAGAGTGTTTCTAAAAGGCAAGAACAGGAAAAAGCGCCACCCAGCAGCAGTCATTTCAGCTGCTTCAATGTTTTTTAAGCTGCAACTCACAAAGTGTTAGGTCATGGGATCAATTTAGTGGGTTGCCACCATTATTTTTAAAAAGATGAAGTCAAACACAATAGAGAATATCACTGTGTTTTACAAGATGTAAAATTACTATTTCATGAAACTTTTATTTTAAATGTCCGCGTGTCCCTATGGGGAGGGTCCTGATGTAAAGCTGTGAAAATCACGAGCAACTGGGGCACGCAGGGACGAGCCCAGGGTGCTGTACTGCAGAGACTACATGGGGCGAAGCCGTGTATCGACTAAGCAGCCTCAGTCAATAACCACGAACGCCTGGGAGAGCTGTGTCAGAATATCCAAGAACTCCCCCATCATCCCGGAGGGAAAAGCACAAGCTCTCAGTAGGAACAGAGGACAGCTGAAACTCAGCTGAGACAAATACTGGCTTGCACAACTCGCACCCTCCAGCATTTATCAAGATGAAAGAAATCTGGATTTTGGAAGGAAATGATAGTTTCTACTTTGAGAGTGGCACAGGCCATGGCCACAACCAAAGGACTCAATCACTGACTGACCGGGAGACGAAGGCTTTTAAAAGAACTGGGGCATGTGGAGAGGTTACAAGAATGAAACCCCCGCCCCCATTCCTGCCAAACTCCTTCCTGGCACAGCTAGTGAAGGTGATGTGTTCTCTGTTCTGAGCAATTCTGTGTCCTTTTATTCCTACCCATTCCTGACCCCTGACACAGTCACATCCTTGGTCTAACCAAACAGCCCAGTCCTAGCTCCACAGCAGGAAAGGAAGTCTATGACAAGAGCCGAGGGCCTAAGTGGAGACACGAACACCATAGACAGTATCATCTCTTAGGACCCCCACAAGTCCTACACTTTCTTCAGAAATGTACCTCGAGAGAGAAACAAAGACATTCTTCAGATGACAGGATCTCCATGTCTCTTTACATCAAATCAGATCTTTCCTCACATTCCAAGTTCCTTTAAAAGTGGAGACATGATCTGTCCCACTTAGTAAATAATGGTGAGGTCTTAGAAAAACCCCACAAAATCCTTCACTTGTTCTCAATTCTAATGAGGAAATTAAATACCCATCATCTTAGCGTTCCTTTTAGAAAGGGATGGCTAGAGACATTTCCAGCAACACCTTCCTGCCGAGAAATGAAAAAGGATTTCTAACTCTGACCACAATTATTCTGTGAAAGCATGTCGATATGCAAACATCACGTCTCTTTCAGAGAGAGACAAAAGGCAGGGAAACACATGCTGCCCGGGGCTCTGCGGCACTGCTACGGTCTCATCTGTTTTTTCAACATTCTCTAGTATATTCCTGACTCCATCACAGCTGATGATGCTCACAGCCCAAAGCATAAACTGCCAAATTACTTTCTGAGAAAGCACAAATACAAGGAAAACTGACATGGACGTGCAATTGTTATATGAGCATGAGCCGGTACCTGTAAGAGGGCGTGGTGCATCGTCACCTCCAGTTCGGCTAAGACATGGGCCGCATCCTCACTGTCCTCCTGGACCTCCAGGTCCTCCTCAGGTATGGTCTCCCAGTTGCCCTGGTGAGCAACCAACGTGTGCACTAGTTCATACTGGCCAGGGAGTGCCAGGCTGACGCGAGTCTGAGTCCCATAGGTGAAGCGGAGGCGGCGGAGCTTACAGCTCTCCTCAATGGCCAACTTGTTGGTAGGAAGCACCTGCACCCCCAAGAGCAGGTTCAACATCTGGCACTTGACATTACAGTCCTGGCCGAGGATTAAGATGCAGGGGAGGCAGTCCACCATCTGCTGGAGGTACTTTTCTTCCTTAGGTGGGAAGGAAATGCAGCTCAGCAGGCCTGGTTGGGGGAGGGGAGGGTGGAGAAGGCGAGAGGAGTACAGAGAGACGAGTGAGGAGGGTAGAGAGACTCACACAGAGACCTCATTAGGCTATCAGGTCCCAGAAAAAAACTTTCTAGAAATTTCTAGAGCTCTTGGTTGACAGAATTATTAGGAAAATATTCCAGTCAGAAAAAGTTCCTCAACAATCAAACAGAATTCCCCTCCCCAGCTCATCCCAGCAGTATTTTCTGCCCTTCCTGGGTGGCAGTGACCTGACCTATTCTCCCCACCCTTTCTCACCCAGTGGAGGGTGAGCCTAAGGAGTTTACAAGGATGCTATCACAAACACGAGATCATCACACTGACAAAGCCAGAAGAGTCTATACTAACTGATGTTTCTCCAAGGAGAAGCTATGCCTGACTATATAAAGGCACAGAACACACCTTGCGGTAGAAGACATAATAACTTGGACATATAGAGCCCTTTTATTTTTTTTTATAATTTTTTTATTATTTATTTATTTTTTTTAAAGAGGCATGTATTTTTATTTATTTATTTGTTTGTTTGTTTGTACATGCACTGGGTACAGTCAGAAGTGCAAGAGGGTGAGAGAATTCACCAGACCCGGGGAGCAGAGCAGGCAGAGCGGGGAGCAGAGCAGGCAGAAGGACCGAAGTACACTGCTGAGGGGAGCAGTGGGCGGCAGGAGAGGTCTGCGCGCCATGTGGGACCCTCCTCCGGTGGCTGGGGAGCAGCCGGGGATCAAACCGGTGCCGCAGAGGCCGCGGGCAGCTTCGCAACCCAGCGCTCAACCGTTGCGCACCGCTGCGCCACCGGGGAGGCCCTATAGAGCCCTTTTAAATGTCCCTACCATGTGCATTTTCACCTTGACATTTTTCTCATTTATAACATTTCATAACTAAATGATGAGCTAATCTTTGAGTACACATATATTGAAGTAAATTGCACAAGCTCTAGAATCTATTCCAGTTGATCTCTCTGATAACTGCATTCCAGCAGGCAAGTCATCTGTTTTCTTAAAACACTGGCTGTTCAATTATAATGACATTCCTTCAGCTTATGGATGACAAGACCCTGAGTTAGATGTGGGAAAAGAACTGCTTTTAGGGGCCTCCCCGGTGGCGCAGTGGTTGAGCGCTGGTTGTGAAGCTGCCTGCAGCCTCTGCAGCGCTGGTTCGATCCCCGGCCACTGGGCAAGGGTCCCACATGGCGTGCAGACCTCTCCTGCCACCTGCTGCTCCCCTCAGCAGTGTACCTCAATCTCAGTCAATCTGCCTGCTCTACTCTCCCCTCTGGCTCTGGTGAATTCTCTCACCCTCCCACGCTTCTGACTGTACCCAGTGCTTGTATGAATAAATAAATAAATCTTTAATAATAAAAAAAAAAGAACTGCTTTTAGGATAAAATCCAGGCAAATCCAGGCAGAGATGTGATCTATCTCACAAAGATCTATCTCATTCTCTCAGGACAACCACCACTCATTTAAATGGCTAACTGCCATGAACAGATCAAAATGTATTTATGAGAGAATAAAAACCTTCTTAAATTATGAGACCCTCTGGGAGAACAAACCAGAAATTAGTTGACGGTTCAGATTCAGAACCTGATCACCCCCACTGTTTGGCACCAGTGCCTGCCATGTCTGTGATTCAGGCAACCACCATGTGTGTTCAGAAAGGCACAGGCACGGGTACATGTACTCCTTAGACTATAAGAAGGCTAATTTCTGGGTCAAATACATACACCCTAATTGAATGGATGGTACCAACTGAAACAGTATTGGCTTTAGTCACTAACCATGAGCTTCATAAATTGCTTATTTTTGTTAGTGTAACTGAAGCAAGAGAGGCCTGATTATATTAAAGAGATTGTTCTACTTCAGACAGTACCTATCCTGCTACAAAACCTATTTCAAATCCTCAAGCCTCCTTTTCTTCTACAAATAGCAACAGCAAAGAATGTTCACAAGACCCCTCTGCATTTTGACAGCCCTTCCTTTCCTGTTGGCCTGTAAGTACACCGCCTGATCTACACACACATACCTCACAACATCTCACAGCAGTACAGAGCACAGTCTCCTGGGAAAGCGATGAATTCCGTTGGAAAAGCAAAGTGTTCACTGAGTGTCTGATTCTGTGCAAGGTATTAACTAATAAGCACAATACCAGACCACTGGGCCAGAGCCAGGGCTTGTGCGACCACTTTACAGTGACAGGCTAGTCCTGAGACCCTTCGTATCTGGTTCAAGACATAAATACTATTACAGTCTATTCTAATCATCTGTTTATAGTTATCAAAAGCAAGAAGATCCAAAACATCTTTCTCTGCACCCTCAACTCACAATGACTGAACACAGTTACACACTTGTTCTATTTAAGAATCCATTTATTGTGGAGAATTGTCTATTGAAAGTTGTAAGTGGTTCCACTAAGTACAAAAGTCTAGAACTAAATAGTTCAGGAGCAACTTGTCATCCCTAAAAACTCCTTTACCTCAACCTGGAGCGTGGCTCCAGGGGAGAGAACAAGGGACATCCAGCTGGGGGGCTTCACGCTCCACTTTGATCTTTTCCCAGATAGGTGCCTAGTGTAAGTTCACACTGCCTCTTCACAATATTTATTGCAAAAGTTATTACATAATAACAACAACAACAAAACCCTAAAGGTCACTGCTGCTGCTAGGAGAGTTGATAATAGAGCCAAGACCAACTAACTGTTTGGAGGGAAAGCCCTCAACACTTCTGAGCTGAAGTACTGACTACAGGAAAGCCAGGGAACATGCTGCCATCAGTCAAAACCAGAGCAGACACATCCCAACGCTTATCACCACCACCCCCATCTCTCGCAAAAACAGTCATTACAAATAAAACTGACGAGTGTCCCAACAACCACAGGCCAGTGCACTGGGGAGGCAGCCTAGGTGACAGACACTGCGGCCAGCGGGGTGAGCTGTCCCAAGCTCTGTTTGCACAGGTGGACGACCTCACAGACGGGCATGCCCTGTCCAAACACCGTGGCCAGGTGCCACGACGGACAAAGGGCGGTAGATCCTGACGAACCCTCAGGTTCCCAGAGGGCGAAGACCGAGAGCTGCACGCATAGCTGCAAGTAGCCAAGCAGGACAAGCCAAGACGTGGCTCTTCTCCTTGTGCCTCGCAGACCTACCTTTCAGACCTCCTCCCAACTCCCTCTGCAGAGCAGGCTCAGTTCTCTTTTCCAGGCCTGGTTTCCTCATGCAACAGTCTTCCTACTGAGGCCTTGTGTGGTTCAACTACACCTAGTGCTCGTCAGTGAATTCTTCCCTAGAGGGCAAAGCACCCTCTCCTTTGGGTAGGGGCGGGAGGCTTGTAACAATGGGAATGGGAGATAGAGCCCTGCTCTAAACTGTCTTTCCACACACTCCATCAGGTTCTACCTGCCACCTATTGGACTTGTTAAAAAAGAAAAACAGGCCCCAGATGGAGCCCTTTATACCAGGCCCCATCAAGACCTAGAACCTGACCTGACTGCAGCTTCCCTCTCTCCCCAAGCGGACTTTTAAGACGATCCACCTGGAATTCCTGGTCAGCGACAGTGAACTAGTGTGCACAGGGTTTTGTCTAAGATAATATTTTCCCTTGTCAATAACCTCTTCCCCTGCTCTAACTATAAAAACCTTCATTTTGTACAACTCCTGTGTCTTCCAACTTGGTACACGGGATGTTGCTCAACTCTAACTCCTTAAATAAGGTCAACTACATCTTCTAATTGTTCAGATGAGTTCTGTTGTTTTTTTTTTTTTTTAAAGATTTATTTATTTATACAAGCATTGGGTACAGTCAGAAGCGCAGGAGGGTGAGAGAATTCACCAGAGCCAGAGCGGGGAGCAGAGAAGGCAGAAGGACCGAAGTACACTGCTGAGGGGAGCAGCAGGCGGCAGGAGAGGTCTGCGCGCCATGTGGGACCCTCCTCCGGTGGCCAGGGAGCAGCTGGGGATCGAACAGGTGCTGCAGAAGCTGCTGGCAGCTTTGCAACCCAGCGCTCAACCGCTGCGCCACCGGGGAGGCCTGAGTTCTGTTTTTTTTTAAGATTGAAGAAAGGTCTTCGCTATGGATAGCACCGCCCATTTTATACATCTTTATCCAAGTCCTTTATTCTCCACTACTCTTTAGTTTTTTCATTGATCAACAAAAGATAAGATTAACAATAAGATTTGAACAAAGGCCAGGAAGAAATGAAGTAGAAACTAGACAGCTTCATTCCTTGCGTCTCTCAGCGCACTTGAGAGAGGGAGGAATGGCTTGTGAAAGTGGTTAATGGCACTGGAGCCAAAGGCCTACATTCTGACCTGAGACCTCGCCAGTGACCTGCTCTGTGACTTTGACAATTTCACGCGACTTTTTTCAGCCATGGATTTCACATCTGATCTTTAACATCCTTTCCAGTTCTAAAATTCCAGGCTTTAACTACTGAAAGAAAAATAATGGGGGGAGTAGTAGCCAGTCGGTCTGGTTTTTAAATTATGTGAGAATTTAATTATGCAAGTTTCCCTGAATACTGTAACTGCAGATGAAAAGGCTGACTGAACTAGCCAGGGGTTCTGGAGGACCCACAGTGCAGTTTGGGCAGTTCTCTAAGGAAGAGATTAAAAATTGCAGACTGACAGTAGGAGGGAGGAAGAAAACCTGTTCCAGTGCTGGAGCAGCTGCCCCAGTGACAGTTAAAGGACTTTCTAGTTAATCAGGTTTTCTTTTGTAATTAATATAACAGCATCTGCACATGGGCCTGCCAGAAGGTAACAGCAAGGCTCCACAGTTGGCACACATTAACCCCAACAGCGCTGGCTGCAGGAAAATTCCTATCAAATTGTCTGAGATGTAACCAAGACGTTTTTCCTTTTATGGTTGTTCTTAAAATCAATTCATCCTGATTGGGGTTACTTCTAAACAAAGGTTTCAAAGTATAAGGAGGAGAAGAGTAAAGTAGCAAACACTGTTGTAGATTTGTGGTAGTTAAC